TAGTACACGTTCTGCCAAGGCAGGCACTTAGCTAGCATTTCTAATCTCTCTTTCTGAGCACACTGGTCTTGTCTAATGTCCTCACACGAAGTTATTCCTCAACCTCAAGCCTCCATTCATACTGTTTTCCTAGTTGAGTCATTTTGAATCATCTTTCTCCCCATAAACCATCATTCATCAAATGCTGCTTTCTCAAAGAATTCATTCTAGGACTCCCAGTTTGTGCCAGGTTTCCCTGTTTTACATAATTAGTGTCTTTTATCTTATGAGAGCTTCTAACAAAATTATAAAAATACCAGTAAAATGAAGTGGGTGGTTTTTTTGATGTTTTTTGTTTTTGGTATGGGGTTCGAACTCGGGACCTTGCACTTGCAAGGCAGGCAGCGGAACCACTGAGCTAAACCCCTGGCCCTTATTTTGTTTTTTTGAGTCAGTGACTTGCTATGTATTTCAGGCTGATTTTGAACTCACTATGTAGCCTAGGCTGGGCTTGAACTTGTATAGATCCTCCTGCCTCGGCCTCCTACATGCTGGGATTATAGGCGTGTGCCACCACATACCCAGCCAAAATAAATTGTTTTATGACTACCTATCTCTTCAGTTAGTGAACATCATAATAACAGGAATCATGCAAAAATGAATCTTTTATGAAAAGAAATATTTTATGTTAAATTTTAAGGTGCTTGTATTTCTAACATATAAATCCTATATCTTCCTGAACCTATTTACATGTTAAACACACATACACACAAAACTAGTATGTTTGCTAAGTAGTTTGTTGTTTGGAAATTGTGGAAATAAAGGAAATAGCAAGGTTCAATGTTAGTGTGACAGTAGCACAGGAATAAGGACAACAGATACTTCACAGTAAGATAATCATGATCACTCAACAGAACTAGTGTAGAAGGAGCCAATATGTAGAGTTGGAAGTGACCATAAAAATATAAGCCCCAATCTCTCCAAAATTAACAGGTCTACTGAATACAACACTGACTTTTTCACAGCTTGTAAATGGGAGTTGACATTAGTCTTATTTAGCAATCTCAGGATGCAGAGAGATAACACACTATTTGGTTTTTGTTTTGTTTTGGTGCTAGGGATTGAACCCAGGGCCTTCACACTGAGCTAGATCCTCAGCCCTTTTTTTTAGTTTTTCATTCTGAAACACGATCTTATTAAATTGCTAGGGCTAGACTTGAAATTGGGATCCTCCTGCCTCACCTCTCAGAGTGCTGGGATTACAGGTGTGCACCACAACCCCTGGCTTAGCTACTTTGGGGGCAGCAGAATCTCACTATGTCAGGGTCAGGGTGGCCTCACTATCTTCCTGCCTTAGCTCCCTAAATGCTGGATTACAGGCATGCACTACCACATCCAGCATGGTTGCAGTGTTAAGGTATCTGTTTACATGTGCGTTAATCAACTAGACAGTGAACTCCTTGAGGACAAGTACTGAGTCGTTCATTTTATGATCTCAAACTTGTCAGTCAGGAGACACTCAGTAAAATGTTTATTGAATTAATGAATATATAATTCACTGTGGAGAATTAGATGTTTGACATATTGCTCCTCTTATAAATCTATAAACTTCAAGAGCTTCTGCTTAGTACAAAGAAATAGATTGCAAATGGTAGCATTTCAAGCATCAGTGTGATTAAATGTGTCTTCCTGGCTGTTTAAATTATTCACACAGACAACTTCATTCTCTGCCTATGAGCCAGGCCTATTCAGATAAAAACCAGGGGTAGGAGGAAGGAGTGTACCTCCTCTTTGTACATTCATTATCTCTCCACTGCCTCTATTGTTAATGTCTTCAACTACCATTAAAAAATAATTTCTTTCTTTTTTTGGTACCAGGGATTGAACTTGAGATCTTGCACTTTCGAGGCAGGCGGCAGAACCACTGAGCTAAATCCCCAGCCCCCCAAAATGCATTTCTTTACTATTTTTGATTAAGAGGGAAGCTGTCACCTCCTACATTATTCACAGCTTGTCAAAAAGAAAAACACACAAAAAGCTTCATTGTCACTGAAAAGCTCTTTTAGCACTTAAATAGATATTTTAAGAATAATAAATAACATTATTATTATTATTATTAGCAGTACTGGGGAGTGAACCTAGGGCCTTGCACATGCGAGGCAAAGATCTACCACTGAGCTACATCCCCAGCTCTTTCTAAAGAGATCATTAAATAAACACAGACTGCTGGATAGGCATCACTAATCACCTACATGCTTTCATGAGAAGAAAGCTCTTTTTTTCAGTATATATTTTATAGTACATATTAATTTAATAGAATATTGGGTTACATGTGGCATTTTTCATACACATGTATAATATACTTTGATCTGCATCTCCCTTAAAATATCCGTGTGGGGAGGGGAGTACTAGGAATTGAATCCAAACCACTCTACTGCTGAGCCACATCCCCCATCCTTTTTCTTTTCTTTTTTTGAGACAGAGTCTCGCTATGTAGTTCAGGGGGGCCTCAAATTCTTGGCAAACCTCCTGCCTCTGGCTCCCTAGTGCTGGGATTACAGGCATGTGCCACCAACCTCAGCTTCCTTTTCTTTTCTTTTTATTTAATCCTTTTATTGGTACATTTTAGGTGTACAAGATAATGACACCTTCTTTTTATTTTCTGAGACAGAGACTCACTAAACTGCCCAGGCTGTCCTTGAATTTATGATCCCCCTGCCTCAACCTCTTGATAAACTGGGATTATAGGTGTCAAACTAACTAACTCTTTTTTTTTTTTTTTTGAGATAATCTTGCTATGTAGCCCAGGCTGGCCTCGAACTCAGGGCAATCTTCCTGCCTCAGCCTCCCTAGTGCCCAGCAAACAAACTCTCTCTTTTTTTTTTGGTACCAGAGATTGAACTCGGGACCTTGCGCTTGCAAGGCAGGCGCCGGAACCACTGAGCTAAATCCCCGGCCCCAAACAAACTCTTAATTGTCCACTATTACTCCCTTTTGACCTGCATCATGGTGGTACATTCTTCTAATCTCAGCTACTGGAGAGGCTGAAGCAGTAGGATCTTGAGTTTGAGACCACCTGGGAAACCTAGTGACCTAGTGAAACCCTATCTCAAATGAAAATAAAAAGGGATGAGAATGTAACTCAGGACTAGAATGCTTGCCTAGCACGCACAAGACCCTGGGTTCAATCCCAGTACTGAAAAAAAAAGGGTGCTTTCTGAGGTAAAAGAAATAAAACTAAGTAGAAAGGAGACAAGGAAATTGAATTTTTAAAAATTGTACTTTAAAGAAAAACTGTAGCCTCAGAACACAAGCCCAGTGTGTTTGTTTGTTTGTTTATTTATTGATTTATTTTTCCTTCTCCCCAAACAGAAAACCCTTTCAGCTGCAAATGGGTCTGCTCAGTCCCTTTTACTCACAAAAGGTCCTCCTTCACCCATGAAGGGACCACCTTTTTGGCATTTCCCCTAAAAATAGACCATTATCTCCTGGTGTGGGCCATCCTCTCCCACCCACTAAGACTAGGATTAAGGATATAGATTCCACAGATTTCCATCTCCCAAAACACATAAAAAATCCCCAGTTCCCAACTGTATGGTGCCTCTTTTCTTTGCACACCCACACTCCACTCTTGATGCATCCTATATCTACTCTAATCTTTCTCACACCTTTTTTACTGACAAGTCCTGAAAATTAATTTCCATAACGGGAGTCAGTGAACCTGCAAGCTTTATTTTATTTTTTTATCATTAATTAAGTTTATTGGTACAATTTAGATACACATAATGATCACATTAATAGTAAGGAATTTGGGCTGGGGATTTAGCTCAGTGGTTTCGCTGCCTTGCAAGCGTAAAGACCCGAGTTCGATCCCCGGTACAAAAAAAAAAAAAGTAAGGAATTTGTACCTGTACATGATATATCTTGATTCTTATTTTTTTTCCCATTCCCCTCCCCTCCCTTCTACCCTTCTCACATAGGGCATATGACATAGGAATGATATATGGACCTCTAAATAATCCAAATAATATGAGAGAAAATTATAATTCCCAATCTGCTAGATGTCTGATATGCTGAGTTCATGTTCTCTAAAATTGAAGAGTGAATTCTAGGAATAAAGGAGGTTAGGAGTAGGAAGTATTTATTGGGAGAAAGATAGCTTCTGGCTAAGAGAAACAGAAGGGTCCCCAGAAAGTGGGTTGCCCGCAGACCCTGCTTCTCAAGGGAGTTTTATAGAGCAAAACTATGAGGTGAGGGTAGGTGGGACAAAACTATAGTCAACTGATAAGATTATAAGTATAGCTGCAAAAAAAAAAAAGATTATAAGTATAGCTGCTTAGGTAATATTGACCTAAAGGAAAATCACAAGGTGGGTATGAGGTGGTACAAAACCATGGTCAGTCAATAAGATCACAAGTATATTTGCTTAGGTAATATTGATTAAATGGGGAACAAACATGGAACAAACAAGGATTTCTCCTGGGAGGGAAACCTTTCCTGGAAGAGATGGGTTAAGGTCTTGGTACCCCACCTAGGTGATTGATGCCTATTTATTAATTTATTTATTTTGGTGGCGGGGGCGAGGGGTGGGGGGATGGGGGGTGGAATTCAGGACCTTGTGCTTGTAAGGTAGGCATGGTGCCACTGAGCTAAATCCCCAGGCCCGATGCCTATTTAGACTATTAATCACTGCTGTTCATCCCTAGCAGAAGTATGTGGGTGTAGTCAGTTTTCTTTGTGTCGAAGCTTGGCCTTCAACAAATGTGCTTCCAGCCACAGTTGTCTTTTTCATTGACTCTCTCCAGGGCCCAGCCCTGTCTGACTGCTCATAATATTTGTAACTAATTTACCTGTCTATAATAAGCTCACATAAACAAAAAGAAAATCTTCAGATGTCAAAAACAAAGAAGAAAGGAAAACCAGAGTGATGTGTTAGCTGACTCAACTTTTTTTTTTTCTTTTTTTGGTACCAGGGATTGAACTCTCAGGTCATTGTGCTTTCAAGGCAGGCTGTGGAACCACTGAGCGAAATCCCCAGCCCAGCTGACTCAACTTTGGAGCAGTATTACTGGATCCTGAATCAGCAAGTGAATAGTTGTTATGCATGTATTGGGGGAAGGGTGTACTGAGCTACTCCTCCGTTCTTTTTTATTCATTGTTTGAGCAAGGTCACTGTTTTGGTTTTTTTTTTAATACTTTTATTGGTACATTTTAGGTATACAATACGTTTACATTGATCACTGAGTGCTTGTACCTGTACATGATGTATCTTAGTTCTTGTTTTTTCCCCATTACCTGTGTACCCTTCACCCCCTCCACCCTTTCCTATTTACATAGATTTCATTTCCATTTTTTTCTTTTCTCATAATTTTTCCTTTCCCTTCTTCCCTTTCCCCTTCCCCTCTCACCATCCCTACACCTTTGGGACTTTTCCTATTTCAAATTATCAATTATTCATTTTA